CCAAAGTTTTCTTCAATGATGATTGGAATTAAAAGATTCGTTCATAAGCTATACTAATCACTGTGTTTCATTTTCATTTACATCAGTAACTGAGTCTCTTGCAAAGTCATCTCTCAGGACTTTCGCTGTTTCCTACCTCTCCCCAGTCGTTAGGTTACATCATGCAACACGGCATCACAATGCAAATACAGATGGCTTACAACAATTGAGTCCATACCGCGGATTCAGCTCAGAAAGAGCAGAAACAGAGAGAGGCTAGGGAGGTGACCCCCACCCCCCCAAAGTAGCTTCCTGTGGGCGTTGGACTGTTTCATAGAAAGAAAGGTGAGCATTAGTTGAGTGGGGAACTAGTAGTTTGATTATGTGGAGGTTTGTTATAGGAGTTTTTACAGTATACCCTTTTGGTCTTTTGGTTTTTGTTCAGTAAATGCCGGTTACCTATTTTTAAATTAATCGCTCGCTGCCCTCAGACCTATTCCGACTCCTGGCGGCCCTGTGGAGCGGGATAGGACCCAGACGGTAGCTCTTTATGCGAGCAGAGCCTTAGCTTTCTCCCAGATTTTAAAATTACAGCCATTAAAAGAAACCAGAAAACAAAAAGCAACTAATACTTGTCACAGCAAGTAATATTTGACACCTAATTTTGTCAGCCGTCATTCATGAATACATCGCAGGGGCCTCATTGTTGACTTTTCCTTTTTAATTTTTCTTTGAACGACAATCAGTCATTGGAAGAGGTGATTTTTTTTTTTCATATTCATGAGGGGAGGTTTTCTTTTTTTTTAACAAATCATTTTATTGGTTCTTACAGCGCTTATAACAATCCATCCATTGTATCAAGCACATTTGTACATATGTTGGCATCATCCTTTTCAAAAAATTTTCTTTCTACTTGAGCCCTTGGTATCCGCTCCTCTTTTTTTCTCTCTCTCCTCCACCCTTCCACCCTTGTGATCCCTTGATAAATTGCAAATTATTATTATTTTTATTTCTTATACTGCCTGCTGTCTCCCTTCACCACCCACGTTTCTGTTGTTCGTCTCTCTCGTACTAAATAGTGTTGGTAATTTTCTTATAGGTGTATATACAGATTGTGCCCTCTTGATCATAATACTAGAAAAGAGAATGAATTATCCTAATGGATTTTATTTCTCTCCCCAAGGTCATGGATCGCCCTGGGAATTACGTAGAACCAACGATTGTGACTGGTCTTGCACATGATGCATCCATCGCACACACAGAGACTTTTGCTCCAATTCTTTATATCTTTAAATTCAAGGTAACAGTTCCTTTTCTCTTGTTTCTGGTCTAATGTTAAAATAAGTGAAAAGACTAGGGGAACATTAAGGTGGATTACACTTCACTCAGCCTTTAGGGATTTAAGAGCGCTACTCTGATCGATCAGTTGAACTGTGAAGGTTATGATGAAAGGCATAAAGCATGTCAACTTGAAACTAAGCTGAACTCACTGCCATCGAATCGATGCTGTCTCATAGCAACCCTGTAGGACAGGGAGAACTGCCCTTGGGCGTTTCCAAGACTGGAACTTTTAATAGAAGTAGAAAGCCTTGTCTTTCCCCCTCAGAGAGGTTGGTGATTTTGAACCGCTGACCTTGTGGATTGCATCCCAGTTGCTAACCACTACTCCATCAGGACTCCATGTCAACCTGACTGTCTAAAAAAACCAAGATAATCAGAGGACCATTGTTGGATCTATTCAGGCTCTGGCCCTGAGCCCTGTGGGCTATAGGGCAGCTTCTGTTAAACACAGGTGTGATGGGGAGAATAGGGTGAGCTGCGGCTAAGCATCGGCAGACAAAGTGAGGAAATGAAGGGCATTCTAAAGACCTACCTTACCCCTTGTGGCAGGAGATAGACTGCAGGTTTCAACAGTGAAGGTAATGAGGTCACAGGCACTAGGCTTGCCAGCAAATGAGCAGTTGCAGGTTTAGTTTTGAGATTGCAGAAATGAAGGCTTTGGAATGAACCGTGATTAAGAGTTAATAGGATGATGACAGTTGTATCATTTTGCAACTGTGTCTAAGGTTGCATTTTTTTAATAGTTTGCTATCGATTTTCGTCTTTTCACTTCCAGTGACTATAGAGAATAATAATTTCATGCTCTATCGTGTGTGTGATTAATCTATTTGTGTGTGTGTGTGTGTGCGTGTGTGTGTTGCCATGAGACCTGGAGGAAGATTTTTGACCTCTTCTAAAGGGGTTATACGTTTTCCTCAATGATCTTAATGTTTGCTTTCTTGGTTTATGCTTTCAGTTTGGTAGAGCAACATCTTCAGTTGTCTTATTTGTAAAACTCAGGTGCTACAGACTGCCCCAAAAGATAAGGAATAATGCGAACTCTTTGAATCTTTTTGTGCACTCGAAGTATTCTGGGCCGTCTCGTGAAATGAGTTTTAGATTGGTGAACTTTGACTTGAATACTGTATCATCTAACATCTTCCAACACCTGCGCTTTTAGAATGAAGAGGAGGTCTTTGCCTGGAATAACGAAGTGAAACAGGGACTTTCCAGTAGCATCTTCACCAAGGACCTGGGAAGAATCTTCCGCTGGCTTGGGTATATCTTTATTTATCTCTTTTGATAAATTTTGCAAATCAGAATTGTGGGATGAATTGTCTTTTCCAAAAAAGAAGAGGACATGATCGGGTGAAATCGCATGTTTAGCACTGGGAGGCCTGGAGGTTTTGTTTGTTTGATTCTCTGTTTTGTTTTTCATATCTTACATCTTGCTCACACCATGCATCCCTTTTTAAACACAGTCCTAAAGGATCAGACTGCGGCATTGTAAACGTCAATATTCCAACAAGTGGGGCCGAGATTGGAGGTGCATTTGGTATGTAGAGAATTGCTTTTTTGTGTGTGACTCATGTTGGGCAGCAATGGAAATGGAGTGGTGGCTTTTAGAAAAGTTTGCCCCTGAAATTGAAACACAATTTGTATTCTGAAATGATTTATGCTATCTCAATGCCTGAGAGAGCTTTTATTTCATAGTCAGGACTCGGTATTCTAGTATTTTGTCCTGCTTCAACTTTCCATTTGAACTGGAGTTCATTTGTATGTGAACCCCTGAAATTGACATCTCTTTGAGAATATGTCCAGTCCCCCTCAAATTAAGAACTTCTGTGTTAGAGCCAGAAAATTTCACTCAAAATTCTTGAGGTTTTATTTGTAGAGTATTAAATACTATGTGTCATTGTCTGTTTTTATTTCCCCACTTCAACCTGCTCCTAAACCTTGCATTTTTAGTTAAGTTTAGTAATAACTTGAAAAAAGGCAAAAAGAGTTTCCCAACAATCAGTCAGTGTTGTGCATTTCAAGTGATCCATTGGAAATGGCTAGTGCTGATGATTCCATAATATAAGGAAATAATTCATGCCACCGAATGGTTCTTGTAAATAACGTTGAAATGGAACTCGCTTACGTGTGTGTGTAAGTAAGCAAGCAGATAGATAGAAAACAAACGAACAAACACAGATCCAAAGTATAGTAAGAACAGATTGCCTTGTGTTTTGGATATAGAAACAAAACAAGCTTGCATTAATACATGTAAAAACTGGAATGATTAGGAAAAGTGTTGTATTTTCAGATCAGACACGTTAATTGGCTGAGACGCTTGTTTTCAGGTCAGCCCCTCTCCCCTGCCCTCTGCTCTGCAATAAGAGCACATGCCGGTCTACCTGCGCCTCTTGTAATCTTCAGTCCCTGTCTGCAGTCTCTGGTCGCTTTCCCGTCGATTAGTCTTCAGGGAAACTTTCAAAACGGATTTTATTTTTAAAGCTAGCTCTCTGAGTGTGCATGGGTGTGTTCGGTGTCTGCACAAAGTGTATCTTAGCTTTGGGATGATGGAAACCGACTCCCCTGCACACTTCCTTCTTTTCTCTAGGCAACCACTTTCTGACCCTACATGCTAAAGCCAGATGTAAATTTATTGAAATATTTTAAGTATTAAGCTTTAACCGTATCTTTGTTTTGAAAATTCTAGAAATCCTTTCTCGACCCTCTTACAATTGTATTCCAACAAGGCTACCAAATCCTCCTTTTTCTGTATCTTGGAAGGTAGCATCACAGTTTTTGGTTAACCAATTGGTACTCAATTTTTAATAAGGCTATTAATTTTATTGAATTTATCCAATTGTCATATGATTGGTTTTCTTATGGAACAATGTTTTCCTTTCAGTTACATTTTTTTATTTGCTTCATTTTCTGTGTATTTATCATTACATCGGCTCCCACTCGTCAGTGTCTACTTAATATAATTTTGCACCGTGTTCCAGTCTGTCAGATAACGTCTGTTCTCCGCCCCTCCTCTGATCCGGGCTTGCTGCTCTGCAGGCTTGCTGCGCAGCTCTGACTGTCCTTGCACGGTGGGAATTCGTTAGTGTCTCTCCCAGGGTGGCTCTCCTGGGTTCGGGCGCTCGGGTCATCGTTCTTGACTGACGCCTTCACTTTGATGGCTCACATGCTGCAGTGGCATCAGCACAGAGAGCGCATAGACGATATATTTATGTTCCTGAATATGCATTTCAAAATGTCTTCATATTGTCCTTGTGTTTGATCAACACTGTGGCTGGTGGAAAAGGATACGGCTGTTCCCCTGAAGATGAACAGCCGGGGAAAGCTTGGGGAGCAGTTCTCCTCCGTCCTATAGGGTTGCTGTAAGTCAGGAGGACTCTGATGGCAGGGGCTTTTGGGTATGACTGGTAGAAGATTCTAGGTTAGTGGGCCAGGCCTCCCTAGTGAGACCAGGCCCATGTTTGGTGATTTGCATGGACGCACAGAACTCAGCATGCATTGTACGGGTGGCTCTGATTTATCAGAGAAAATCAGCAAAAGGAAGCTGGGGTGAAGACTGGAGAAAGCCAGGCCCTGATCTTTCAGGTGAGGTCCCAGTAGGGACCTCAAGGTGGGGTTCATCCTACAGTGAGTTGTGACAAGTGTGAAGCGTTGCCTACGGGGGAAGCTCGTTAGAGACTCGGGTCCTGAAGTTTTGATTGGAGCCAGTCAGTGCCGGCACCCTCTGTCCAGCACACACCAAGATTGTGGACTTCCTGAAGGAAAGCAGGGGTTTACCGTAAACTACATTTTTTGGTGTTAAAACAGTTACGGCATAGTGAGTCATTCTTTTTGAGTCATTCTTATCATTTAAGGAGTTTTCTTGTTTCTGTCAAGGAGCCCTGGTGTCTTTGGGTTAGACATTGGATGCTAACCATAAGGTCAATGGTTCAAACCCACCAGTTACTCCAAGGGAGAAGGATGAGGCTGCCTCCTTCGGTAAAGAGTCACAGACTCTGAAGCCCTAGATAGAGTTGCTATGAGACAGAATGGACGCGGTGGCAGTGGGTTTATAAATGATGATGATTATTAGTGCAAGGAGCTGCTTCGTAGTTAA